TCTGGCCGTTTTATACGCCGTTATAACTAGGTGTTAGTCGGGGTTCAACAAGTTTCACTATATTAACGAGGACATTTTTATTTGCTAAATATATCGGGACATTACATATAATTATATTGCTTTTATATGCAGCTTAGAAATATTGTAAGGCGCGATTCTAAGATTTTTTTCAGCTGGGAGCACAAGAGGGGCCACAATTAATGCAGAGGGGCCAATCTTATGTTGTGTATTTATATGTAGGACTGTAGATATCCAAGTCATGTAAAGTTCAGTAAGCTTTAAAATCAGCAATACTGGCCTACCTTATTATCTTTTAACGGCATTTATTCACTGCTGTAAGTCAGAACAGTCAAATACAATTTGTATTAACTTTTTACTTTTCAGAAGTAAAACTGTAATAAATATAAGAATCCAATATGTGAACAGAACTCACAAAAATAATAAAACTCAACATTAATGCTTTACAGTAATGCAGGGCCGATTGATAAGCTTATGAGTGGCAGTTGACGGTCATCAGAAGGCAAAGTAAACAAAGTTTTTTTGAATTTATTTTTGGGTGAAATACCCCCTTTAATTTATCTGTCTGACTGCCTTTCTATTTGAGCCATTGCCCTCTGACCGGCACTACAGAGCACTGAGCACCAAAAAATGCCAGACACAAGAACAGCTTTTCCCCTCAGGCCATATTCCACCTAAACAATACATAACACATCTCAGACTGTAAATCTGTAAATAAAATAATTTGTTTCTCAAAACTTATATTTTTCTTTATATTTTATTGATTTCACAGTACATTTCTGACCACAGTAATGTATTGTAAAACAATACTCTGTAATCCTGTAAATACGCAATTTGTAACCTAATCTTAACCCTAACAGAAAGCATTCTGCAAAATAATGTTTTCAGCGATATTGTCAAATTCAGCTCACTTCTGGGTTAAGTAGGTACCCGCACGCGCACATCTGTGTTGGAGCTTTTGAGAGATCTAACGAACAAATCAATTCCACTCTGCCATGAACCGAACAGAGAGTAAAAGAAAATTATGCATTTGGTTTATTTTAAATATATTAATTATTTGTGACAGATGAAAGAAAATCTCACTAAAATATTTAAAATAATTAATTGTTATTTTGTTTGGAAATGATAACCAGGCAATTTGAAAGAATACGGAATTTACGATAAGAACTTTCAACAACAGGCCTACTTTATCGCGATAATTCCGTAAGTCAATATTCGCTGCTACGTAAATTTGAACTAAAAACAATGTTCACAAGTCTTCGTTGTTATACAGATTTGTTGCTTATTATGTGAGCTAAATGACAGATGCTTTGCAACTTAAAGAGCCTCAACAGACAAGATGTGGTGCTTAACAATGTGAGGGGCCTTTTGTCTTTCGTTTCTGATTGAATGGCTTCACACAGCGTCCATCCTTCGCCGGATTTTAAGTTACTATCCACTCATTTATTTCAGCCCCTAAGAATACCCAAAGCAATGTTAATGTGTCCTTCGTTTTTTTTTAGTGCACACAGCCAAACACAAGACTGTGCACGTCTAATTCAAATTAAAGACGTCTCAAAGACCTGCGATCTAGTCTATAGACATTCATGACATGCAATGTTTGATTAGGCATTTAACTATTTGTAAGAATTATTATTATTTAATAAACAATATAGCATAAAATATGTGGATCACCTGCATTTTATATCATGGACATTAAGTTCAAAGCTTGTGAAATTATACGTTGTGGAATTTATTTGTTATTCAAATAATCGGAAAAGTTGATGTTTGGAAATGTTGCCCTGCTCACAAGTAGTAGATCGCCTGCAGGACACATTGCAAGTAATTTTTCACTGTAAAAAGGCAATATTTAAAGGAACCCTGCGTCAGAAACATGATTCAACGACTTTATTGATATTGGCGAAATATTCGAAAGAACCTTTGGGAATTTTATCTCAAATGTCTCTGAATTGTGATGAAAGTTACTTGTTTTTGTTTGACTGGTTTATATTGTTGGCAACTCTGTCATTTTGAGCCCAAGAACATCAGGTGAATCTCTTTTACCGCCATGCTTTTTGTATTTACATGTTAACAATGAATGGTAGTCCTTTGGAAAAGGAACGTTTATTGCAGTAATTGTATAATTACTTCACTAATTGTTGTTAACAAGCCATAGACTAGGCCTACTTCAGGCACTACAGGAGAGCGCATGATAAAAGGCAGTTAGGGTTAATCAGTTACAGATGGAGAAAAGTGAAAGCACCTCCAAGCTTTTGATAAACATGCGCTTAAAACCTTTATCGCAGTCTCTTATTATGCCAAACTCGAGCACAAATTGTTCCTGTCTTGTGTCTGACAAGGTGGAGGAAACAGTGAAATCTCTTCATGAAACATGACAATAAAGTGATTTTTCCATCTAAGCTTTGTGTGTTTACTATATATTTCATCTGATCTAAAACTATAGACTTTGGCGCAGTTAACTAAGTAAATTGATTTGCTGTTGGAAATGAACTGCTAATACAATGGTGGTGCTTCTGAGCGTGAGACTGACGTGTAAATCAGCTTCACAAAAGAGAGCTGATTTGCTCCGATTTCATACTGATTTGTGCTATTTTACGCTGTGAAAGGAGAAACAACTCCGGCGTTTTGAACCAATTTTTTGGCCATTACAACTATTGAATTTTAAATGCTATGACAAAC